TTACGGACTTCCGACACGAGCGCTTTTTCCAATTGCCATTCAGTCCGCAGCCCTTAGACTCGACTCGACTCGCCTCGCCTCGACACCCACCGCATCCCTTRGCCCACTCACACCGCTCCAGTGCAGCTGTCGTTGACATTGAATTCTGTAGGATGGCACCTAAAAATAGGCAAAGAGCAGAGTTAGATTTATTCCTCTTCCTTTTATTTTCATATTTCTTTGCAACATTTCTTTTTATATACATACATATATATATTTTATGTTGCCTTTTGGTATTTGAGTTTAGCAACAGCCAAACAGGAAATTGCATAAAGTGTACGAGTCGCTGCCAAGAAGCCAAAGCCGTTGATTAAAAATTGAACAGCAAGAAATATAAATAAATAAATAAATAAAAATGTACAAACATATTTCTGCACATGAACCAACAGCAGCCAGTTAGCCGTAGATGAGGCGGGCCGGAGTCAGTCGTAAGACGCAGCAGCTTAAATCGGTTTGCCAATGGCAACGCCGCACAAATAAAATCAAACTTCAAGGGTCACTTCCGCTTCAAATAGCAAATCGGGTTTCTATCTGCTGCGCCCCTCAGTCCTCCATCCAGCTCCAACGTTCGCCCGTTCGCGCTGTCCACAAAAGTCCATCCAGAAATGAAGCAGTTGCCTCCACAACTGCTGAGCCGGCGCACGCATTCGTATAATTTTCTTAAATTAGTTTCCGGCAAAAATTTTGTCGTTGCTCTGCGCTTTTTCAAGCCGCTTGTTTTGCAGCGCTCAACTGGAAATATTGACATTTCTGATTTTGCCCAGAGTCCTTCAGGCAATCTACTCATCGCACGCCACGCCCCCTCTTTTCCCACTGAAGTGTRCTCGCWTTTTCCCCGAAAAAAGTATATACATATACATTTGCGATGCTGGCAACGATGCTTAGCGTGCAAATCAGGACGACCTGCCTGAGTGGCCATTGAAAGCGGCTCAGAGTTCTTGAAAAGGCGCCGAAGGATAAATGTGCGCCAGTGCGGCAATAATCGGACTGATCGGCCAGCCACTAAAAGGCGCATTGCTTCCATTTTCTTTTCTCTTGCTCTTATTTTGCC